AAATTTTTTTTTGGATCGGGCCACCCATTTGGACGGAATAGCCCGAAATAGTTGTGAGCGGTACTAAACCCCACCCTAAAATTGCAATAAATTGAAGATAAATGAGTAGGAATCCGAACAATTATCATCGTACCGGTGGCCGTGGCGGTGGCGGTGGCGGTGGCGGTGGAGGCTTCAAACGTTTCGGTGGCACTGGTTCCTATGGTAATTACAATAAAAACTCAAGCCATAATGATGGACACGGTGGGAATCGTCGCTCTGGCAGCTGGTCTGGCGGGAATTTCAATCGTTCATATCACAACAGCGTGAACCACGGTAGCAATAACAACTTAGAAAGCAGCAATAATGCACCTCCATCAATTAGCCAAGAAAATGATCGGTTTCAAAAGTTCCGAGACCGACATACACTGGAATCTGGTGGTTACAATAGCCGGTCGAAAAATGAGTCGCAACAAGGTGGTCGTATGGGCAAGCGTGCCCGCAGTGACAGGCGCAGAAGCAAGCAACATAACGACAACAACGGCAACGAAAGAAAAAGTGGTGGGAATTGGTATGAGGATCAAGCTGGAAATTCATCCGTTCCAAGTGAACTAAATCAAAGTAAGTACCCGTCTGCAACGGCGTCACAAGTGCCTGCTGCTAACTTGACACAAGCGGCAGCGATTGCACCACCAGCCACAAGCTTGCCGGCTGTGCCACCACAAATTCAAGAAGAATTACCCAAAGAAATGGATTTAGTTGAAAAGAAACCGATAATAATAAATATAAAGCAAGAAAAAATTGGACAAAATAAAACTAATCAAATCGCTAAGCCACCGGCCTCTTCGGATTCGTCTGACAGTGAGGATGTACCGCCTAACAAACCGCTCGAGCCCAAGCAAGAAACACCGGCAAAACCAACAGAGAAAATTGCAAGACCACCGTCTTCTTCCAGTTCCTCTTCATCCAGCTCCTCTTCGGAAGAAGATGATGACAAAATTAAAGAGCTTTTAAAGAACACTAAAGCCTTATCGATGCCAACTGTGGAAAAACCAACAAAAGTAGCGAAGAAGCAAACGAGGAAAAGGCGGCCTTCTGAAGAAGACCTAATTTGTCTGGGAAAGCTGGAGAAAAAGTTTGTCATTGAAGATGATGCTTCAGAAGAGGCCGATGAAGCAGTGGATGACAAGAGCTCTACGACTACGAATCAATGCTTGATATGCGACGAACATGTAAGATTTGATTTTTTTTGCCAATTTATGCCTAATTTAACATTCTTATTACAGGGACATACTGCTTTTGAATGTCAGATGATTTGCAAAAACTGTTCAGCGCCTTACCACAACATGAAGAGTTGTCCGAAGCCAGTAAACCTATCAATTATGATGCAATCTTTTATGGAATTCTGCATGGGACAAATGAGTCAGTTCAATCCGGAACAAAAGTTCGTATTGCCAATGAATACTAATGTATATAAAAATTATTCAGCGAAAGAAAATATAAAAATGGCAAATGAAGTACGAGGCAAAAAGGTTAGAAAGGTACGTGCAAAATCAAAAGAACCACCAAAGAAATTGGCGAAACGAAATCGCAAGCGTACCACCAAATCCAGTGATGATGAAGAAGATGATGAGGAGGAGGAGGAAGAAGGGAAAAAAGAATCAGAAGGGCAAACCTCTGAATCGGAATTAGAGAGTGACTCAAGCGAGGAAGTAGCTGCACCTGTTTTAGTAGACTCTACCGAATTCCGCAATTCGTTTGTGCCACCATTTTCATCTTTCCCTGCTTTCGGGGCAGCGGCAGCAGCTTATAACCCGTTACTGTTAGGCCAACTCATGCAAAGCGGAGGCTTTGGAACACCCAAAAAAACTCAATTTTTATAGCAAGTAATAGATTTGGTGGATTGGCATCACCTCTATCGACAATTTCCAAACTGCAGGCCCCGAGCAACGTGCACCACCTAGAAATCATACTCATCATATGTATATTTCAAAAAAAGTAAAGGTTTGCATAGAATAATGTTCGTAAATGCATTACTGCAATAAATAGTCTCTTTCGTTTATAAACTATAATTGCTGAAAACGTCCATCATGTGTAAACACGGTTAAATGCCGAATTAAAGAGTGAAATAATTAAAGTAATTAAAGAGTTTAATTCTTTGCAGTTATACTACAGGTTATTATAATACATAACTACAATTTGAAAAAAGTGTAATTATTTAACTTCTAGTTTTGATTTTTAAAGTTGTTAAATTTACTCCAAGTTTTATTCGAGCAATAGAGAATTATTTGGCTAGCATGAAAGCTAAAAATACTACAAAAATATTTTATAAACATTATACGTTCATACCTAATTGCTTTTAAAATGTATAGAACCGCTATTGCTACCAGGCATGAACACATGAATATCTTTATTTACGTGTTTAATTTACATATAAATATATTGACCAAGTTTTAAGCAAATATTATTTTACTACTATATATTTAATTTGTTTAGTATGCAACAGATTTTCGGCTGTCAGTGGAAGGCATCGAAAAAACCTTTCATTAAATTACACTGGCCAGCAAAATGGAAAATGTAATGCTGAATTTCCACTTGGCATTAAATGGCAAACATTTTATTGAAAAAGTTGGGCATTAAAAAATAATCGTGTCATTACGTTCAAAAAGTAGTCATTAAGTTGATTTCCACATGGAATTTTTTAAATGGCGCAACTTTTTTGTCATTTCCATGGCTAGTGGAAATTCGGCATTATGAGTAATGTAAGAGTATGGCCATGTAAGATATGGTGCATAATAGGGAATTTACATGAGGCGATTTTTCAGGCGATTTTTAGTTGAAAGCAACAATCGCCTGGTGTAAACGGCCTCTCAGCTAATCGCTTTCAATGAAGTTGGTCGTCTGCCTACTTTCGTTCAACTTTTGGTTCAACTAATCGCTTGTGAAAGTTGAATCGTGTAAATTCCCTATAAGTAACATTATTTCCTGCCCCTATTTCATAAAAAAAATTATTGCACATGCTCATTTGACCATTCAAAAGTGGTATATTTATCCATCAAATTTTATAATTATTTTTTGTTTGCTAAAGTTTAATGTTTTTATAAAAATTAAAATATTTTGAGAAAATGTCCTGATCTGGATCAGATCAGATCCACAATCTACTACCCAAAAATAAGTTTCCATTCCTCCAGTTTTGTTTGTCAGTATATACTAGGCGACAATTGAAAGCGTACACCTTGTTCTAATATAATATTCAAAATTATTGTCATGAACAATTTTTTGCATTAACTATTTATTCAAGTATAGTTCATTTTATAATATAAACAACCATATAGATCAAAGCTTCACACTTTATATAAAGTTAACAAAAATTCAAAAAATATTCATCAAAATTTTCAACTTTTATTCAGAATTTCTAGACAATGTTTGAGTATGCAGTTTTGTATCCCATTCAATTCTAATCTAATGAATCCCGTTAATTTTTGAGAATATTTTTTTTTTTTTGGTGACGGATTTTTGCATTTTTTCCTTCTAAGCATAAATTTCGTATTAAATAAAATGCGGGATGCCGTTAGCGACAAAAATTCAACGCCATTTTTTGTAAATTGCACTTATCATTATAAAAACCGCAAAATCAGTCTCCAAAAGAAATCTTGAAACTTGCACTTCATTTGACTAAAATGGAATGAGCTACAAAACTGCACACTCGAAAATTTTCTGGAAATTCTGAATAAAAAGATTTTTTATGAACTTTATATAAAGTGTCAAAGATTCACACTAAATTATATGGTTTATATTATAAAATGACCTATATTGTTTATGAAAATATCGCGGCGCGCGTGAAATTTTCAAGCTCGCTCAAAAGAGGTAATAATATCACCAATTAATTTATTCACTTATATGTTATAATGTATCCCAGGTAGTACGTTTGTTGTTTTACGAAAAGGATCACCACACTTTTTCACTCTTCACTAACTAAAAACCTGGGTAAAATTTTCACTTGCACAGTGCACAGAGGATTTTCAAGGTAAGAGCCCTCCTTAACCTATTAAAACAAGATGTACACTAGCGTGGGCCGAAAATCCGCTTTTTTAGAATTTTGATTGGTAATAGCAAAAATATGCTTCATTATGCTCTAAAAAAAAAAACTGTAACGCACTTGGACGAGCCTAAGATATTGACCAAAACTAGTCATCTTTCACACAGATTATTTTTAGAGCATAATGAACCATATTTTTGCTATTACCAGTCAAAATTCTAAAAGACGAATTTTCGGCCCACTGTGTAGTGTACACTTTCATTGGTCGCCTAGTTTATGTGCGAGATATTTTAGCCGACAGTTCACACAGCATCCTTCGGCTGATAAGGCCACACGCCGAATGATCAGAAGTCTGCACAAACTGCCAAAATCTTTGCGCCTCTTACTTTCACCAGCGGTGAAGTTTCGATGGCTTTCGGGAAGGTAAACGTCCCAAAGGAAAAGTTCTGTCTCGTTAACTTGGGATGATTGTATTCCTAAAACGGCATTCAAAGGTCGGGAGTTGGCGTATGTTGAGACCGACTCCCTATGAATGCCGTTTATGGCCTACGGTACGATGTCGAGGGTTTGTATGGATGCCTCGGGTGAGGACTCAGCAGCAAGCAGATTGCTATTCGGGTGGCCACGCCTGGGGCACCTTACAAAGAACTGCCTGTTCAGCATAGTGATGTGCCCTGTGATACGGGGCATTTGGGCCTCGTCATGCGGGTGGTCTTCTGGCGGCATCAGAGGCATCCCAGACAGTCCAGAGCGCCGTGTTTTGGAAGGTCTGTAGCTTCGTCTACTGCGTGCTGCCTTGAATGTTTCCAACAACGTTTTTTTGTCTTGGCCCCAGGTACTGCCGGCAAGCGACTTGAAGACTTTGTTGTGGCTCTGTGCTCTGGCGAGAACCCCACCCAGCTAACGCCCCTGTCCTTATGGACAGACCCTGTCGTAGTCGCGCACTTCCTGGGCCTCCCCTTAGTTGAAACGGACGACAAATTTGACGGATGAACCAACCCGAGCGGAGTTTAGGAGCTGCTACAACAACAACATGACACATTGAATGGGGCTATCGACCTGTCAGAACACTGCACTCTGAACTGCAATGGAATGCCTTCTGATTTCGCCTGAACACCATCTACTACATACCGCTGCCGTAGACAACACCCAAACATACACTTGTGCCCCTATGAACGAGCGGGCGAGAGCGAGCCTGACATCGTCTAGCCAGAAGACCCAATCTTGTACAGTGAGGTCATGAAAGAGGGACTATGACCAACTTTACTAATACTCTATTGCAGAGAAAGAACTTCAGTTGCCTCGATATACCGGCGTAACTCTGATGTACTTAAGGTATGGATACTGTGGCATGTTAAGCTGCTAATTATCCAGACTGTGCCCCAACATACCCAATATAAGTCCTGTTTGTGCAGACCCTCCACATGACACCAACTTGCTCTTCACTTGCCCTTTTCAGCCCACTGTGCTAATACTCGTTTTCCTTTGGTCTGACCTCGTTGAAACAGGATGTTTTCTGGGTCTACCGTTAGTTCATCTTAATGACGATTTATGGGCATGGCTTTTTGTACAATGGTAAACCTAACTAAACGCTATTCACTTTTTCTCGGCTATTTGATTTTATGCGCCATGACGATCTTCCAGCCAACCACTTGAATGCCACTGATTCCCGGTATATAGTATTCGTTTACTTTCTAAATAACCTTTTTCCGGGTATCAAAGATATTTTTTTTTTTTTTTTAATTTTGAAAAGACTAATGTATGTACATACATCCGATTCGTAATTAACATTCGCAGAATTTATATCATCGTAACTACATAATTTAATAATTTAATTATTTAGTAATAGACAAAAAATAAATAAAATCTAAACGATTTTTTGAATACTTATAGAAATATGTATTTAACCTAAGAGTGCCATAATTGTAATCATTCATCCCCAGTTAAACCCTCCACACTCTGCGTAAGCTGTTCCATTGCCTGCTGGGCCACTTTGCATAAATTGCCCTCTTGCGTCTCCGGATCCTCGTACTGCAATATGTCGACACATTCTTTGAGTATGGCGATGACGTCCAGCAATTTCTGCTTCAACGCCTCTGCTGACAAGACGCCGGCTATGAAACCGCTTTTGGCCAGCAATACCAGTGGCACATGCAACTCGTACAGCATCATAGCTCGTGTGCGACTCAAACCCGGTTCGAAGACTTCCAAAACACGCAATACCAGTCGGCAGAGCCCTTCCTTGTGCTCGAGCATAACATCCGGCAGCTCTGCCAATTCATATTCGGCGACGCGACCATACATTTCAATGAGACTCTGTCGTAGACCAATTTGTACGAAATGTTGAGGATGCAAAACGACACGATATTTCCGCATCAGTTTTTCCGTTTCTTGTAGTTTTTGTGGGCTGGGTTCCATTGCTTGGATGATAGCGACTTCCGACTGTATAACCGATAGCGTCTTCTGTATAGCATTTTTGGAGGTTTTGAAGGTGCAAAGTGTGCATTTCCAGTCGCAAGAGGAATCTGTATTAGAATTTGTGCGAAATGCGAAACAATGAATTACAACAAATAAGCTTTTGATCAAACCTACCCAACGGATCTGTCGGTAGTAGCCAACCATCTTCGCATTTACTGCACTTGAATGTGCTGAAGTTTGTGCCTAATTCTGTAGGATCTTTGCAACGTTTGCATTCGCATGTGAAGAATTTGCCGGTCTTCAGGTGCTCCTGCCGCTGGGCGGTGCCATTTAAAGTGTATGTGTAGGAGTGCTGCAGCTGTTGACCCTCGCCCAGATCACACATGGCGCGCAAGCGAATCCTGTGAGTTTAAAAAAAAGAGACAATTAAAACATCTATATTTTTTAGCCCAGTACCTAGATGGTGCTTGTGAACTTACTTGTACCCCTCACTGGGATGTATGGTGCGAAATGTATTTGGTACACAATTATGCGCCAATATGCCGGTAATCGGATAGAGGCAACGCAGCGCATGTCCTTGCGGCGTACGTGCCTCGAATGCGTTCACCTCCAGGATGCCCACCACTTGCATAATAAGATCTTCGGAGAAACGGTCAGCCAGGCGGCATGGTCCACGTAGATATTGTGCAATATTTATAAAATCGGCATTCCATATATCACTCAATTGACGACGCTCTTCATTGTGGTATTCCATAGGTGCGATTTCACGTTCCCAACGCTCGGGATCCGATTCCTTGGCAAGAAGGACCCTGCAAGAAGATAGAGGTGGTCAATGGCAGGTAAGTCAGTCTCAACAATAATTTCTAGATTCCAAAATTATAGAGAATTTATATCTAAACAAACGGAGTAAAATTTTATACCAACTGACCTTTCTACCTATGCCATTTTGATGGAAACAATCGTTACGGAATCGGGAACAGAGAGCATTTTCAGGGATAAAAAATCACGGTCCAGAACCAAACTCAAATAACTCGATTTGAACCTATTTGACCAAACAAACACTGGATATCGCTAGCTTAGAGTGAAAATTTGCTAAGTCCACTTTTTATGAAAACTCTTAATTTGATAAAGGAGGCTGCAAAAATTAAAAATCCATCGTTTCGAAAAGGGTAACAGTCATTGTTTTATGTTTTCTCATTCAATGAAAGGAAAATTTGCTAAGCCCAAAAAAGGTCCGAAAATTCGATAAGGCCAAAATAGTACGAAATCTTTTAATAAAGATCGAATCTCTCTCATTCGTATGGATTTTTGCTTTGCTTTAAACAGGCAAAATGTTGTACTCAAAATTTTATGAAATACTTGCAGAAAATGGCTATAAGAAGTTTTTTTCCTCTCCTGTACAATTCTTAAATTTGGACTTAGCAACTTTTCACTCTAAGCTAGCGATATGTTAGCCTTTCTTTGTCTACCTGTTTCGGTGTTATTGTTAATTTTATTGGATCTCAGAACTTTAAATTTGGGATGTTTAAAATTAAATGCTCGCAAATATTTCCTGCATATTCTGATTTTTCTTTTTTAGCTAACATCAATCTACTCTCGGATTAAAAATATTTCCGATCAATATCCGATCATTACTTTGAGATATAAATTTTTCAACATAACGTGTCCAAAACGATTACAAAAAATTCAAACAAATTCAGGAGAAAAGACTGAAAAATCAAAAAAAGGTCGAATATGTATGGAATTTTACCTTTCGAGCTTGTGTTTCGTGAATACACCACGTTAGACCAGCATGAAATTATTAAAAATTGTTTAAAATTAGTGTCTAGCCGCCAAAATGTAAGAAAACAAACGCAAAATCATACATTTTTCACAATTTTCTAACACTTCGCTACAGCATCGAGAGCAAAATTCTGTTCGACAGAAAATTCGATACTCAACGAAAATCCCGACACGGTTACATAGCTCATAATACGAATTTCAAATTCAATCTTCGATAACCAGCGCAATTCGAAAATCGAATGCAACTCATAATAAGGGACATAATATAAATATTTTTTTAAAAAACTAAATGCTGCTTGAATGTTTTCGAGAAAGTAAACAGTTAACCAAACAGTGGCGCATAGCCCCGATATTACTTTAGCTTTGACACATTCTGATAAAAAATCGAAATTTCTCTGAAATCCAGGGTAGCCAAAAATTAACGCAGGACATTTTTATTTTATTTTTTCTTAAACGCGTCACCTAAGTAGTTTCCTTTTTCAGTTCCAATATTTGTTAAAAGCTTAGCCACAACAAATTTTCCTTTATCGCATTGCCAAGGTACCGTTTGGTGAAATATGAGTATGGCAAAATGTCGCGATAAAACAACAGATTTAAAATTTTACTGAAACGTGAATGAAGCGTCCATAAATTCTTACATTCATATATACATACAGTGTCGGGAAAATAAATAGAGACACGACATTTTAACAAATCTTGGTTATTTTTCTTTTGTTTATATAACTTTTATTATTTTATTATGAAAGTATCGCTCACTGTACTTATACAAAAAAAAACCATATAAATCCGTATTTCAAACTTTATACAACAATTAGAAAAATTGCAAACCTTTTAGTAAGAATTTTTAGAAAAAGCTCTAGGTATGTAGTTTAGTATAATAAAGGGCAATTTTTTGGAAACTTTTTCTTTAATAATGAAAATGCAAAACAAAGCTACTTCAAGCTTTACTTCGTTACACTAAAATGTAATGGGCTATAAGACTGCCCATTTTTTTAATTCTAAAAAAATCCAAATATTGATGAACATTTGTTGAAATAGGTCGAAAATCTTGTACAAAGTTTGAAATTTTGCTTAACATGGTTGTTGTTAGATAGTAAGTTATGCTTTCATAAAAACTAAACATTGAAAGAAAAATGGCCAACATCTGTTAAAATATCGCGTCCCTAATTGTTTGCCCACCACCGTACAGCAATATATTTCAAAGCACTAGTGACGCACATTAGATAATTCATCAAATAGAATTCTACTTTTGCTAAAAGCTCGAGCAATTATTGTTTGCTTTCTGTCAAATACAAATAGACAAAGGCATACATTACGCACATTTGCTGCAAGAGTGGCATAATCAAAAAAAAAAAATTGAAAACTCGAGAAAAGCAGCTTTATAGTTTTGAATTTATATATGTATGTATATGTACTTGCAGAATAAAAATGAATACTACTGTGTTCTAGTGAGCTACTGGTAATCGGTACAGCTATGAGATTTGTACATAACATAGAAGCGCAGCTAACGATCATTTATATATGCATAATTAGCTTAAATTTATTTACGGACCGTAACAGTTAAAACTTTTATTAAAAAAATAAATAAAAGTCTTCAATAACTGTTGTCTATGACATATAACATAAAAATCAAAAATAATTGTTTTTATTAAATTCATAAAAATTACAAATAAAAATTTATTTTCAAATCTGAGTCCCGGTGAAAAAGGAAATCGATTGGTATGTATCACTTAATTATAGAATATTTCCTTCTTAGTGTTTTCCTCCATGACAGTTTTCTTCAATAACTGTTATGTTCGGTCACCGATTTATTTATTTATTAAGACACTCTTGCACCAAATGTGCGATATGTATTTTTTTTTCAAATAGTAAACCATTTTTGCATTTAAAAAAATTTGCCACATTTTTGTTTTCCAAAATGTTGTTTAAGCGATTTGACAAAAAATAAGTAAGGGTACTACATTCTTCAGCCCAACCTTTCAGTAGAAACGTCTTAACTCCAAGCTTCATTAAGTGCTTTTTATATTAATGTTTCGGTTTTTCCTTCGTGCGCGAATGCTTTTGAGTTAGGTTAGAATGGTCAAAGATATTTCCACTCTCTCCCTCTCTGCTTTCGAGGCCAGGTATTTAGCTATATTGTCTACGTCGCGAAATCAGTAGCCGATCGGCAGCCTCCTTAATGGCAGTTATCTGGAAAACAATGCAATGATCTGGAAGGCTAAATTTATCATTAAGATTTCCCTGCAAAAGATCCTTCAACCGAGCCTTCCTTCAAGCTTCTCAAGAGAGCATGCGAATGGAGAAAGTGATTATTGTTGTCAGCCTAATCACGCAGTAAGCAAGTATTATCGGAGATAAAGCCGTATATTCGGGTATCCTTGCGCATATACGAGTATACGGATAAAATCCGGATATCCGCTAAATATTCGTTTATTTCGTTATCCGTATATTCTAAGCGGCATTTGAACGGACTGTTCTGAAAATCTCCGAATCTATCGAGTTGCAAAATAATATCAACACAGTATTCGGATATCTGAATGTTCGTATTTTTTTATAACCCAGATCAAAACATAGTCTTCTAATCTTTACCTTAATGGTCATGAGGGCAGCTCCTTATATCCGATATTGCTTCTGAATAGTGTCAAATTTTCGGAAATATCGTTACTAGGCAAATTTTATTGTAAAATTACGAAACAGACGCTATATCGTCGATTTTTCTGTGATTTCTGGAAGGTAGTTGGTGATTATGTCGTGTAAAAATCAATATCGCAAACGATCCTATCCAGGTGCTATTAGGATATTATAAATGTTTGTTTCACACCTGGAAGAGCTTGCAATCTAACAAATGTCTACCAAAAGTTTAAGCTCAAACCTAAAGTCGAACTTTAGATGACTCAACCGAGCAGGGTTTGAAGGAGTTGTTGGTTAGAAAATATCAAATTTTCTTGTTTCAAATTAGGTCTGAATATAAATAGTCAGTTTTAGCTATCAGAATCACTCTATGAAACATATCTACCAAACACTACCTCAACGTCGTTACACAATCCAACTGTGGACACCCGTTTGCATCACTTTGCAAAAGGAAAAATTTCACACGCGCCTCACAAAACACCGGACATTCCCAACGGCGATGAGACACCGCTCCAGCCTCCGAGCAGTTTACACACAAAGGCCACTTGCATGCTACGCAACGTTGATGCTCCGCCGCCCTACTATCACATTTTACTGGCGCGTAGCACTCGAGACACACTGTCGGTCCATTACATTTCGGGCCATGTACTAAAGGTAGCTCTTCCACTAGCAAATCGTTTGCTTTTGCCGCACTCTCCACCACCAAGTAACGTCCTAAAACTGAATTACTCTGCACGGCTGTACGATTAGAACTGCGAAATGTCTTTGCTGTGTCCATTTCACAGACTGAAATTAATTTTTGTGCCCAAAAGATGCGGCAGCAAAACCATCGCAAGCCGCTTTGTGGTGTGGATTTTCTGCAGCAATGCAGAAGACGGCAAGGGAAATATGTACATATTTGCATGGGTGTGCATAAATGATTATGATGAATATGAAGAGTCTTATACTAAAAGGCCTAGTATGAACACTAGTCGAAGGGTTGAAGATTTGCAAGAATTTGCAATATATAACATACATACATATGTTGCATATGTATGTGCGTTGGTGGGTGTGTTGACATAGCTTTTGGCATATTTTGCTGCTAGGCGGGTGATTTTGGCTGCCTTTTTGACATAGTGACAAATGAGTTCGTTTTGCTTCACTTAACCACAATAATAGGTTTGTGCAATTCTTTTTGCAAGTAAACATTTGCATACATTTTTGTTGAGGATGATCATGAATGTGTTCATACATACATATCTGTGCATACATATGTATATGTGCTTATTTATGTAAATTCGGCGAAAAATTCAAAAAAAAAAGTTATAAAATTTCACTGTGTTGTTGATTTGGCAAAAATGTTGTACAACG